TTTGGCATTGTTTAAAGGGGCTGGAGTCCAACAAAGTCCATTTGATCTCAAATATGAACCAACCAGTAGAATTTATCGGAAGACCAGATTTTTTTGTACTTAAAAAGAGGAACATGAATACTTCTCGGTGTTTCAGATGGAAGACCTAATTCCATCGGTCAGTAACTTATCTACTGAAAAGTTCAGTTTCTCTTTTAAAACGGTAAACAATGCCCTTCAGTTATTCAGGTCCTAACCATGGCCCGAGTACCAGCTGTGGCCCTCAAAGCACTTTTTCTTGGCCCCCGGGCTTATTTTTGACAGGACCAAGCAGTGATAAATAGTTAATGTATCTAATTTTATGAAGTCAGTCTAAGCTTTTATCTGCATTTAACCCACATTTTACTTCACAAAAGCCAATCTTGGAGAGTTGACAAAATATATTGACAATATTTAATCATTAATAAATCTTTAGTCATTTTAGTAACTGTACTAATGTACTGTAATACTACCCATGTATCAATTTTTTTTTTCTCAAGCTTGTCATTTTGTCCTTTTGTCACATCTTTAGATCATCTCTTTCAGAAAAGTCTAAAAGCTCTTTTTGCAAGTATGCAACATGTGACATTCTATTTTTTCTGTGGGGAAAACGTTTGGTAAGCAACAACCAGTATTTTCACTGGCTTTATTATCAGTTTTTAGCTAAATGTTTGTTTCTCAAATTCATTGTTATGAAGTGACTTTTCAGCCCAATTAACATACTTTATAGTATATAAATATATATATATATATGTCTTATACGCATACAACTCAGCGTGCATGCATGTCTTTTGCTGCAAACCAAACATTCAATTGAAAAAGATCTACTAAGACCACCAAACCAAAGTATTTACATTTTTTGCTCAGGCGTAAAAAAAGTTCCACTAATACGTGTCTCATAGCAACAATGGCACAGCGGCACAGTTCTAGCGCTAGTCTAACAACAGCGGAAGCTACTACAGCGAAGGATTAGCACAGACAGTATATTGCCTTATGCACAAAACTGTACAAAGCCCTTTTTTCCCTGTTGAAGTTCAGAAGATAGAAAACACGCTCACACAACACTGACGCATGCTAACATTCACAAAACATTTTCAAGAAATGCACACACACTGTTCAAACTAACCAGAATCCGACGTGTTTTAGACCGTGCGATGGACACCATCTTTGTTTTGGTTCACGTTGATTGCATTGGCCTTTTACGCTCCTGCTCCGCTCCCTGTATCCGTGACATTATCTTTCTTTTTAGTTTTAGACTTTGGGACTGACGGCTCCTCAGGTAAAGTGTGAGGAGGTTTGACCCACAGAAGACCAGAGATGGGCTCAATTTGAGTTTTTCAAAACAAATGAGCTGTGTTCAAATGTCAGTCCTACAGAGTGTTATGTTAGCTTTTAGCTTCTAATTTTGAGACTGGGAAAATACTGTAAATCCAATGCTCCTAGGTTTTTTTCAGTGTATAAAGGACGGAAGGCTGTTAGCCTCAGAGATGGGGCTAACGGCCTCTGCATTGTACAGGTTGCAGGGTCAAAATTGTTGTTGAGAGGAAGCATCTTTGAGACAAGGCCACAGGAAAAACTTCACCGGAAATTGAACATGGCAAGTAACCCAAAATTAATCATTATTTTATGAATCGAATAGTTTGGTGATTTTTAATATTGTACCAGTTGTTTTATTAGTCATAATCTGGCATGTAATGAGTCAATACTCTTTCCCTATACCAAAGTGCAACTGCACATTATAAAAAAAATTCTTAATACAGTCAGTTGAAAATACGCATATCATTTGAGTTTGTGATTTGTGAGTTGGGTCAACTGAACCAAAGCTTATCCTGTCGAAAACTGAATAAAGACTGTACACATTTCTTCACATTCTAAGTGTACCTTGTGAAAGTTAGTCTATTTTCTCAGTTCGCTTGCTGTTAACAGAATAGCCATGCTGACTTTTAGCCATGCTTTTTTGTCACTACTATTGCAAAACCTTACATCAACTATACATTTTAGTTTAGTTGTACAATATTGAATAACAATACAGATACTGTGCTGTAAAAGAGTGAAAACGCAAGCATATTTGAATGGAGATATGTTTTGAATTCTTGTTAGTTTGTCGGTGGAGTTATGAGCACAGAAGGCACCGGTGGCTTAAGGAAACCCATGTCTCACCTACAACTGCTCAGATAAAGGGAATCCACAATTAAATAGAAAAAAAGACATTTGTACCAAAAACGACATGAACAATAGAAGGATCAGAACACATGTGTAAACAAAAGTATTATTTTAGTCCAAGTATTTTGTACATATTCACTCAGCTGCCCTTATTCAGACATGTTTCTCCCTTTGTCCCAACTGTAAAGGAGCTGCAGTATTTTTGTATGTCATTTGGCACAGATTTGATATGTATACTGAGACAGGAGTGGTCTGAGTCTGCATGTATACTGAGACAGGAGAGGTCTGAGTCTGCATGTATACTGAGACGTGAGAGGTTTGAGTCTGCATGTATACTGAGACAGGAGTGGTCTGAGTCTGCATGTATACTGAGACAGGAGAGGTCTGAGTCTGCATGTATACTGAGACAAGAGAGGTCTGAGTCTACATGTATACTGAGACGTGAGAGGTCTGAGTCTGCATGTATACTGAGACAAGAGAGGTCTGAGTCTGCATGTATACTGAGACAAGAGAGGTCTGAGTCTGCATGTATACTGAGACAGGAGAGGTCTGAGTCTGCATGTATACTGAGATAGGAGTGGTCTGAGTCTGCATGTATACTGAGACAAGAGAGTTCATAGTATGGCCTAATTCATTTGCAGTGTTCTTGAATTTCTGTTTTTAAAGAGACATCCCATGTTTGTCATGAGTCTGCTACAAAATTGTTTACGCATACATTGGCAAGTTATTTTAGCTACAACAAATTAATTCCATGCGCCAAGTTGACGAGCAAACATAATGTAGCCCCTTTAGACGACAGTAGCTCCCAGATTGTGCTGTTTCAACCATCGGTTCTATAATACAAAATATACAGACACATTAGAAATTCCAACTGCTGTTTTTGTTACAATGACAAGTTCCAAATGCATGATTAGAAAGGACGCATTGCGGATGACCCGGGTCCAAGCACACATATGTACATAACAGAGCTATCAAAACAGGCTTCAAAAAATTCCTCCTAAAAACGCGTAATCAATGTTATTAATTCTTTTTTTTTTGTTCTTTTGTTTCTCTACTTACAACAATGTCAATTCTCGGTATGTACAACCCTAGAAAATAATTTAATTTTTAGTTACACATTTCTACATCTGATACAATACTGCTAAGTCCACAGAGACGTGTGTGTGTGTGTGTGTGTGTGTGTGTGTTTGTTTGTGTGTAAGGGGTTGCACCACCACAAGTCAATGACATAATTTGAATGAAGTAAAAAATGACAAGCCAATGTTGGCTTTATTAATACAAAAACTGCCTACAAGTTATCCTTTACGGGAACAAATATATAATCCAACATTAAAATATCAATTGGATATGAATGTGCCATGTTATTTTATGTAAAATGGCACTAAGCTAGGACGAGGATGTCAAGCTTTTCATTGTATTTGACCAATTACTTTGCGCAAAACTGCCGATATATTGAGTAGATCAAAGTTTTTGCCATCCTGCCGATATGCTACCATGGCATGTTGTACCTCATTTTAAAAGACATAATTTATTCTACTCTAAACAGCTATCCCAAAATGTGATGAGTAACAATTAATAAAAAATAAAAATGTACGTATAAATTATAATATACACAAAAATAGCCACAAATACAGACGCTATAATTGAACCTCTCAAAAAAAAATACTGCATATTCTTCAAAATCTTCCATTAATATCCTATTTGCCAACTAGCGTATTGGCATTAGCCCTATATTCCATTTTTGCACCCTTAAAAGAATTTCATTGGCCTCAGCAAACTCTAGATCTCTGCACAAAATACATTGATTTAAGCAATTAGACCATATCGTACAAATGGATTTTGTGAATATTTTACTTGCGTCAACAAATAAACTTCAAATAAAGGATTTGTGAGATTTAGCCCTTTTTCATTCCCCAAAAACTGCTTTTATTCCTTTGACTTCCTTTGGTTGCCTTACTCCATTCATCTGTGCAACCCCTTTGTGTGTGTGTGTGTGTATCCATGTTCATTTTCCCATAAAAATAGGAAAGTGCAAAACATTTATCAGTGAATTAATTAGAATTATAGTTTTATTATTAGACATACTATTGTCTATTTATGGGATTTATCCATTGAAGCACATTCAAACCTGGAAGATGTTTGCTTGTAATTTAAAGATGGGATCTCCTTCTAACGAGAATACAGAAATTACATTTAAAATTCTATCGAAGACTATTTCCCCACGTTTTTTGACTATTGTTGAAATGCCGACCTAGGACAACTGTGGGAATGGTTGGCATGTTGGTTGGAGTGAGTCTGCAATTTAACAACAGGGAAGTCTGGAACGTGTCAAAACAAACTTCTGACTTTCAGTTGAAGTCTGTGAAAGTTACAGCACAGGGCACCAAGGACCAAAGGGAATTGCGTGATGATGGACTACGGCCTAGAAAAGGGTTTGGTTTTATTGCTGTCTCAATTATCGCTATATTGAGTAGGGGGTTTCACACTGTACTCGCATTAGAAAGAAGACTTGATCCCAAGGCAGACTAAATGCCGAGCCCATTTAAGATGATGGACCGTGTTTTTCCTCAGTGGGAATGAGACTATTGAGAGAAATGTTCTGGCTTTTCCCCAACTTTTGCAAAGTCCAAACCAAATTGTAATATACTTTAACGGATTCATCTTTGGAAATTAGAACAAAAAATGGAATTTGTAACTGTGTTGTGTGTGTGTGTGTGTGTGTGTGTAAGTGTAGTATTTCTGAATGGAGAGTTTTTGGGGCAGGGTTTGGCGGCGGGCGTGGTCTAACAGTCGTGGGGCGGGGCTGGGGTGGAGTCTGGTCACAGCGATGACGTGGTGGAGTCGACAATCTCGCGGCCATTGCACACCGCTGGGACGAAGTGTGCGCTCACGGAAGCTGCAGACACACAAGCAAATACTGTTAAGTAAGTAAGTAATCTTTATTTATATACCGCCTTTCACACACCAGACTCACAAAGCGGTTTACAATTGTGGGCAACTAATGTTGTCCATGTCCCCTATTTTGCTCTTCTTCCATTGTCAAAGTCCATCCTAAGCACGTGTGATCATAATTTGGGTGATACACTAAAACTATTTTAGATTTCTAAAGCGATTTCCAGCATAGATGATGTCACCTCAATTGAAAGCTGAATCTGTGCTTTTTTACCCAAGAGTCTCCTCCCCCCACCCGCGCATGGTGTAGTTTCATGCTGACTAGAAACTAAACAAGGCAGTGTGAAAGCTAATTGTTCAGCTTTCGCTGGAACATTTCAGGCCTGAGAATTATTTTTCTTTCCAAAAATGGCGTTCCGTCACTCAGAGCCCTATGTCCTTGATCCAGAAGTGAGTCCAGTTTGATGGTAAACCTAGTTCTGGAAACAGTCTTTGGTGAAGTGTCACTTAAAACTTATAAACTTATAAAAAGCAGAGCTTGATGTGGGGGTGCAGGGCCAAACCATTGAGGGAATCAATGAAAAAACGACTTTGGGCCTGTGTATGAAGGCCAAAGATCACTGTAACAATTTTTAAAGCAAAGAAAAGTCAAAAAGCCTTATATGGGACCTTTAAATCTGGGCTACTATTTTTCTTAAAACATCTATTTAGTTTGTGCTGACAGAAAGTCTTGTAAAAGTCAAATTGTGTGAACCAATCAGACCACAACTTTCTGCCTTCATCTGATTAGAAAACATATTGTCCTTTGCATATTTGTGAAAAAGAAAGTCACGTTTTGACTTTTTAGGCGAGCTGAAGAAGCTGATGTAAATATTTGACAAAAAAACATGCATAGTGATAGAATTAAGCTGTTTTGAGAGTGAGGAACTATAGCTACATGGATTTTATTCCAGTTAATCTTGTTGTGGATAGAAATGACCCTATAGCTTTAAATGCGTCTCAAAAGCAGATCAGTGAAACACTTCCACCCAGTGCAGACAAATAAAACATAGGTTTTCGCTTGTGCTTTGTAAAAGAACAGACAGAACAACATTTTACACAAGTGAATCCTACTGCATACTGTGACTACACAGAGCCATGTATGAGACACCAGTGTCTGGTGTTTGTCAGGCTTTGGCGGGCTCCCGGGGGTCCCTCCTCACTGCAGATTGTCAGCTGGAGGTCTCTGTCTAACTACCTCATGATTGAACATGTCAATCATACAATAATGATATCTGCTCCTGCTGCTGAGGAGGAGGAGGAGGAGGAGGAACAGGGCCATTTCGAGAGTGTGGCGCTGGCTTGGAACCATACAAGAAAGAATTGCATTCTGCCGTTCTCTGCTGTCAAAAAGTGAAATGTGAAACACTACACAAAGAAAGTCAAGAATATAGAGCTGACAGTGTAAGCTGTCCACGAGTTATCAAGGTTTGAAAGAAACGACACAGCAGAGCAGAGACTGCATCGGACAAAAGTAGAATGTGGTACACTGTAAAAGGATTCACGGCCAGAGCACAAAGGAACAAGCTGGAAATGGATGTTACGGAATTGTGCTTTTACTAGAACTACTGCTACTACAACTACTACTACTACTACTGCTACAACTACTACTACTACTACTGCTACTACTACTACTGCTACTACTACTACTACTGCTATTACTACTACTACTGCTAGTACTACTACTGCTAGTACTACTTTCAAACCACAAGAAATGGAACTATGTAATGAAATGCATCTAACTTCTTGGCTCTGAAAACAGTATGATCTTTAGCCTCTGTCACGTCTTTAAAAAGTCACTCACAGGAGTTTTTCTTACAAGTATACAACAGATAACATGTTTTCTAAAAAGATTAAGACAGCATGTCTTCTATGATTTGTTCAGAATGTTACTGTAAAAACAATCTTTCTTTTGGGACCAACCACATTTATCATTTATGAAAAACATGTTTGGGAATACAGCTGGAAATGCTATTAACTTCTATCCCACAAAGAAAAGCAGCGTGTCACAGGTGACTAACTAATATACTGCACTGCAAAAAAGTGTGAAAAATAGGTAAAGAGCACATTCTGACTGCCTTAAGACCAAATCATCTTTTTCTAAAAAGATAAAAGAAATGTCTCGCTTGGAATGAGAAACTAAACGGCTTTATCCCATTGGCAAATCTTATTTCAAGACTGTCAGAATGTACTCAAATTAAGATATAAGCCACTGGATCTAAGCATTTATTAACTCATATTTAATCTTTTTCTTTGCAGTGTATGCTAACATTAATTATCCCCCAAAAAGTTCTCCTTTAAGAACAAATATTGTACATTGTGTTTCCTGTAAACAACAAACTAGCTATTGCTTACATTGTTTTCTAAAGCACTTCCTGCTTTAGAAAGCAAACTCATTTAAGGAAAAAAATATATGGATAAACATAAATAAGGAAGAAGGAAATGTGTGAATGTGTGGATTGACCTAAAAACAACTCTAAGTTTGTTTTGTTGATGAGAGTACAAAGTTGTAACCTGGTTAAAAGCTAAAAAAAAAACTCTTTCTAAATTGTCTTGTATTGTTTGTGGCTGCCTTTTTGCATGCTTAAAAGTGCAAGCGGGGTTGGGCGTACCGTGCGAGGCGTAGGTGGTGGCCGCTCCGCTCACGCTGTAGCGGTTCAGGTTGAGTCTGTGGCTGGTCACGTTGTTCTGCGGCTTGAACAGGATGATGTGCACTTTGGGAGCGAACATACAGCCCAGCACCACGAAGCCACTCAGGCTGACCGAGATGCACATGGTGGTCGTCTGCACCTGCACCAGGGAGGAGCAAAGGGACACCGGTTACTGCGAGTCTTTGGCAGTCACTACTGATTGTGAAAGTCGCCCCACTTCACAAAATGAGAGTTGAGTGTTTATTTTGAGTTTGAGTTCAATGTATATCAAACTTTATCAAATGTTACTAAATAGAATTTTCTAACCAATCATTCATTAACCAATACTTATTATATTATTCAGTCTAGAAAAGGAGTTAGAGGAAGAAAAAAAGTAACAAGCAGCACAATAACCCCAGCCAATCCTGACGCAGCAGGGATTCAGAGAGACAGAATGTGAAAAAAGAAGAAGAAAATCACATTGTATGATTTTTCTTTCTTGACCAGCGTGTGCCGTAGGTTTTCATCTCACTATTTAGTTGGTATTTTGACCCATTCTTCCATGCAGATCTCCTCTACAGTGGAGATATTTTGGTGCTGTCGTTGGGCAAAACATACTTCCAACTCCCTCCTAAAGGGCACCTAAAGGACTTTAAATGTGTGTTTTTGGACCAATGTCAAGCTGGAAGACCCAGCCACGGTTCCATGCCAAAATCCCACAATACTTGGTCCCATTCATCCTTTCCATCATACAGATCAGTCGTCCAATTCTCTTTGCAGAAAGCAGCCTCAGACCATGATGTTTCCACCCCCTGCTTCACAGTGGGTATAGTGTTCTGGCGATGCAACTCAGTATTCTTTCCCTTCCAAAGACAATCAGAAAGTTTTGTTTTGATTTCATTTGAAATTGAAATATAACTAGCTTACACTAGCTTAGCAGTATGGCACCGAGTCAAAACCACTCCCCCTCCTCCCTGCGCACACTGTCGAAAAGCTGGAGGGGGAGAGAGGAGGGGGATGAATGCATCCCATCGGTTTCGTTCCATCGGGCTGCTCCAAAATATTAATTTTTTGAGGTTACAGGAATCTGGTCATGTCCATTCCTATTTGAACCTATCTTTTACATTCTTCTCTTCCAGTTTTGGAAATTCGTAAGCACTTGATTATGTGTGTATGTTTGCATATTATGTTTGGCTCCAAACAAAAAATGTTTGCTGCTCTCCAAACCAATCTAAGCTCAATACTTCTTCTCAAATCTTCCTTCAGACAAACACGCACTGATACAAACACAAACAGTACTCTGCTGGAGCGGTAACTATCCCGTAAAATGTGGAATACAAAGTTACTTGACTTGAGAGGAGGGAACCTCCTGGAGGGAATAACACGTCTGTTTATTCATATAATCTGACAGGATTTAAGTATCTGGCAACAGCTACAAAAGTGGAAACATTTATAACTTTCTTGGATTGCGTCGCCGACCAGTGCCAGCACAAGCGACAAAATAGACCAACAATGTCTGCCAAGCTGCACACATTACAGAGGAAACAAATAGAAAAGACTGTGTGTCAGGTCCATTGAGACTACTGTTCACAATAAAAAGTATTAATGAATATCTACAGTAAGTGCAGATAATCACTGGTGACTTCATGCCTTACAACACCTTTTGCTTTTAACTTCACTGTATCGCTGAAGTGTTTTGATGTTTTACTAAACTGTTCTGTAACTTGTAACTCGAATCTTCCATTCTGGTAGAGCCGTCAGTGCTTATAAAAAAATAAAATCCCAACGGTCCTCTTTCAAATGCAAAAGTCATGTTTGCCGGAGTTACAAATAATGCATAGGTTTGATTGAGAGTCGGTGAACTCTGCTCCTCTCTGGTAGAAGAGCAGACAGTGTGATTAAGACTGGGACAGTGATGGATCTGCTTTATGCTAATCCAGAGAAAAGTCATTTAAAACACCAGATGATGTTTCATGATTATCTCCTCCCAAATAGAGACGTGTAAAGATGACATTGAAAGGTCGTGTTCATGTGGAAAAGTGGCAGCAGCAGTTAATGAAAGTTAGAGTTTGGGAATCAATGAATACTTTTTATTAAAGCGTATAGAAGTCGCTGGTCGATTGTTGAACCTTGCAATGGGGAGACAAAGCTGCTGCCTCTGTCTGCTATATAAAAGGTCTCAGAACATCACATTTTTACTACATTGGACATTTCAATTTTGATCTTGAAGTATGTTTGAATTCCTTGTTTGGGCCGATTTGGAACGAAATACAGCGGCTATAGTAGATGAACAAAAGGGTTTTAGGACTGCAGCTTCAGCTCTATAGTTTAACTACCACTGCAACGCACTGATCACAGGCCTTCTCCTTCCACGGCAGAATGTTTAATTTTTAAATAGTTGGATGAAATTGGCTATGCAACAGGACAGGATAAAGAGCGGGAATGAATATATCATTGCCCGTAAAACTCTCACCACACAATTTATAGGCTGCTGTGACGGGATACATTAAAGCTGGGGTGCCTAACTTTTCATAAAGACATGCATATGACAACTAGGGATAGAATCAAACCGTTTTGAGAACGATAAGATAAATGATTACATAATTATTCTTATTTTAATACATTATATTTCTGAATAAAGTTTAGAAAAATTTTCTCAACGTTATTTATATTGCAAATTCTATTGTTATTGTGATATAATGTTTTGGCCCTATTGCCCAGCTCTAATGGATCTTTCCATAGACTCTCAAACTTGAGCTTTGACTCGGTCATTCTAACATATGGATATTATCAACAATTTTATGGCTGCCCTGTCTTTATATTTAGGGTCATGGTCTTGCGTAAAGTCCCAACCCAATTTCAAGTCTTACAGCAGAGTCTTGGTAAATTTGCAGTTGTGTCATACTCTTTCCATTCCCAGATGATTGATTAAACAATGCTATGTGAAATATTCAAACCTTATAGCCTCCTTCTCCAAACCCCATCCCAAACCCGTATGGTGTGTTTCATGGATTTCATAATGCCAATATTCTCTAAACCGAGACCATCACAGACCAACCAGAACTTCTGAAGGAAATTAATTGTTGTCTGTTTTGCGTGCTGCACTTGATCTGTTTTTTTTTTTTAGTTTAAAATCATGCATAAAGGTTATTCACTCATGATTTTGTATTGCTCAGTGAGTGACATTCATTTAAATATATTTACCCACTGTATTTAATTAACAGCCATAAATAATCATATCTTAGAGACCAGAATCGGATTATTTCGCCTTTAACTTGGATTTGGATGTTTTTATGAGGTTATGAAGTGTAAGCATGTAACCACTCTGATTGTGGAACAGTTATATCCTTTGGCTTGTTTACGAAGCAGTGGTCCCGAGCGTCTTTACCTGTGGATCAATACAAGACTTCATCAACAGAAAGCACAAAGGAAACGGCGCATTCAGCAGGTCCCTGTTTAGCAATAGTGAGTTCAAACGATTAAAGGCCGCTGTGTATGTGGCAGGATTGAGTTTTTACAGCAAAGAGAATCAACGCTTTCATATTATTGATTAAAACAAGATTTTCCCTCCGCACGGCAAGGCAATTTTATTCATATAGCACAGTTCATACACAAGGCGACTCAACGTGGTTAACAAAACCAGATAAACAAAATGATACAAGGCATTCAAATCATTGTGTCATTATTGCTCTCATAAAGATCTATGACACCATCCATCCATTCATTTTCTTCCGCTTCATCCGTTGTCGGGTCGCGGGGGCAGCAGTCTAAGCAAAACTTTCCGATACAGCCTTGAACTCCTCCACTTGAGGAAGGACCTCTCCACCTGCACCTTTTTCTGGTCGAGCCACAGATCTATGACACCAGCGGATTAATATATATCTATACATACATACAAAACTGATCTCAAAGCCTCATTTACCTCAATTAAAAATAAGTAAGTAGTAAGTAAGCAATATTTATTTATATAGCGCCTTTCACAGACCAGAGTCACAAAGTGGTTTACAATGGTTATTTTTTTGGGTGTTTGTCCTCTCACTCCACACAGAGATGGGAGCGGGGTTGCCAGTACAGGAGGTGCATGCCAGAAATTTTTTATTGTACATGTTTTTAGTGGTAGGGAAAAATGGAGCACCTGGGGGAAACCTACGCAGACACGAGGAGAACATGCAAACTCCACTCAGAAAGGCCCAGTTCCGACCGGGGTTCGAACCCAGGACCTTCTTGCTGTGAAGCGGGAGTGCTATATACTCAGCCACCGTGCTGCCCAAAATAGACAGTTATTTACGAAAGAATAGTGAGTGCTTCAGTGGGTTCTTTCCAGTGTTTAAAATAATAAAAATAAAATACATTTAAAACCATACAGTAAATGTTATTGCAACAGTCATACTCAGCTATAGCAATAGTGCAACACTGCTGAAACGTCTGCGAATCACTGGTTCAGATAAGAAATATAAACACAATAATTTCTCAATAGCGTGAAGCTGTAACAACTAAAATCTATTCTCCACAAATCAATACATTTTTCAATATAATTTCCCCTTTTTCCCCTTAAAACATTGGAGCGGATTTCACAAATGCGGATGGGAGTAAACAGGAATTCATTAGACAATTATCTGTGTAAGTTGGTTTTTGATTCAATCTAATGTTCTTGTCAGAGATAATGTATCGGAGCAGTTTGATGGACAGATTGTAGAAATCATTTATTTCAAAACACAAATTATTTAGTTTTATTTGACATTTTTTCAGTCAAGTCATTCGTATGGATATTTGTTTACTTATTTGTGTATCTTAATGTGCCCTCCATCTACATGGCGAATGTACAGTCTCTGCCCAATAAGACAGACGAGCTCCTGTGTCGTATCCAGAGCCAGCGCGAGGCCCGAGACTGCGCTGTGTTCTGTCTCAGCGAGACGTGGCTCCACACGAACGTCCCGGACTCTGCTGTTCAGCCCCCGGGATTCACCGTTCACCGCGCGGACAGAGATAAGGAGACCACGGGGAAATCCAGAGGTGGAGGTGTGTGCTTTTTAATTAATCAGCGCTGGTGCACGGACACTCGCATCGTGAACCAAACATGTACTGCCAATCTGGAATGCCTGGTCTTGAGCTGTCGCCCTTTTTATCTTCCGCGGGAGTTTGCTGTGATATTTTTATGCGCTGTTTACATCCACCCACGAGCGGACTATACTGTAGCACTACAGGATCTGAGCGAGATCCTTCATAAATACGAGACTGCTCATCCTAATGCAGTGATTATTGTCGCTGGGGATTTTAACAAATGTAATTTAAAGACTGTACTCCCAAATTTCTACCAACATGTGACTCGAGCTACAAGAGGAGCACAGATCCTGGATCACTGCTACAGCAATGTGAAGGGAGCTTACAGGTCCAGTCTCAGACCTCCATTTGGAAAGTCCGACCACTCCTCTGTTCTCCTTCTTCCCTCATACTCTCAGAGGAGCAGGGAACATAAACCAACCTCACGCACTGTGCAGTGTTGGTCTGAGGAGGCTAGCATGAAGCTACAAGGTTGTTTTGATGCTACGGACTGGTCTGTGTTTCAGTCAGAGGACGTCAATGAATTCTGTGACGCTGTGACTGGATACATACGCTTCTGTATTGACTGTTGTGTCCCACAGGAGGTCATTAAAGTACATCTCAGTCAAAACCCTTGGATGAACGCGGAAGTGAAACAAAAACTTCATGAGCGTGCTCTGGCGTTTCAATCTAACGATGCAGTTGCCTATAAGCTATCCTGTTATGCATTGAAACGTTCTATTAAATCTGCAAAGCGCAGTTACGGGGACAGGTTAAAGGGTTATTTTAAGGAAGATGACCCTTGGCGCATGTGGAGCGGTATTAAAGCCATTACGTCCTGGAAACCTAGTGCTGGGAAAATCGGATCTGTTGGCCCAGCTCTGCCTAATGAGCTGAACTCGTTCTACTGCCGCTTCGAATCTGCCGATGCCTGTCCTACTGTCTTTCCTGATTGCCTCAATCAAGGTGCGTTCACCGTGACTCAGGAGGCAGTCCAGCGGGTCCTGTCCAGCACCATTGTCCGGAAAGCCCCTGGCCCGGACGGCATCCCTCCTCGTGTCCTGAAACTGTGCTCTGAGCAACTTGCCCCTGTTTTAACAGACATTTTTAACCTGTCGCTAAGGAACTGTACTGTGCCGAACTGCTTCAAAGAGTCGACCATTATCCCAGTTCCTAAGAAAACTCCTGTGACATGCCTTAATGACTATTGCCCTGTGGCCCTCACTTCTGTCCTAATGAAGACTTTTGAGCGGCTTGTGCTGGACTTCATTAAGAGCCAGATCCCTGTGAGTGTTGACCCGCTCCAGTTTGCTTACAGACAGAACAGGAGTGTGGAGGATGCCATCTCCTTTGCTCTGAACTCTGTCTACAGTCACTTGGACAATAGGAAATCTGTTGCAAGAATGCTGTTCATTGATTATAGCTCTGCTTTTAATTGTCTTGTCCCAGGTAAACTGATTGAAAAGCTCATGTCTCTCGGCTTAAGTGTTGCCATGTGTAAATGGATCTATAGCTTTTTAACAGACAGATCTCAGAGAGTGAAAATCAATGACTGTTTTTCAGATGTTGTTTCTGTGAGCACTGGATCTCCTCAGGGATGTATTTTGAGTCCTTTACTTTTTACACTGTACACTCATGATTGTGTGTCTTCCTCAGACTCTAACCTGATCATCAAATATGCTGATGACACCACCATCATCGGTCTCATCAGTAATAACGATGAATCGTCTTATAGAGCCGAGATCCAAAACGTGGTTCAGTGGAGTAAGGCTAACAACCTCCAGCTGAACGCATCCAAAACATGTGAACTGGTCTTTGATTTCAGTCGCAATAGTTCTCATTTGCCTGTCGCAATTGAGAACTCCCAAGTGCAGATTGTAGAGGAGTGTAAGTTTCTGGGTCTAACTCTGTCTAATGACCTGAAATGGGTTAAAAACACTGACCGGGTCGTAAAGAAAGCTCGTCAGCGTCTCTACTTCCTGCGGAAACTTAGAGAATTTACCACTAACTCTAAGATTCTGCTGAACTTTTATTGCTGCACCATTGAGAGTTTACTTGTTGGTTCTGTGTCTGTGTGGTTCGGTAACATCACAGATAAAGAAAAGAGAGCTCTAAACAAGGTGCTCCGCTCTGCTAAGAGGACCGTAGGCTGTGAGCTTCCTGTTCTGGAGGTTCTTTATCAATCCAGACTTTTTAACAGTGCCCTGAGAATTATCAATGACTCTTCTGGCCACCCAGGAAAAGCCTTGTTCCAGCTTCTTCCCTCTGGCAGAAGATACTGTTCTCTGAGATGCAGGACATCTCGTTATGCTAATAGTTTTTTTCCACGAGCTGTTAACAGTTTGAATAGAGCACTTTAATGTTTTTTGCACTCGTATAGATCTGTTTTAAGTTGGTCAACTTCACTTCACGGTGACATTTGTTTACTGTTTTTAAAATTTGTTTTATTTTTGTCTTTTAATGTTGTTTTGTGTCTGTACTTGTCCTGTGCACACTGGGAACTTTTACAAACGTATTCCAATGTAGTGTTACTGCAAATGGCAATAAATGAATCTGAATCTGAATCGGAAAATGGAAAAATGTGTTTCCATTTGCTCAGACCTAAAGCATACTAAACCGTAAAGATGTGGAGTCTGACCAAGTTACCGCGACGATTCCTTTCTATTTTCTCCGTATAAACCCTGCTAATTTGCAGCATATTCGGAATCCGAGTCGTCTCATAGCAACCAACGAGTCAGTGAAGAGCAAGGTCGGAAAGTGAATTTCTATGGGATTTTACGTTGCGCTTTAAAGGCTTCACACAAACTAATAATTCCCCATCTACATACATCTGGCGCAATGGAAAATAACCTTTTTATAAAACCTGGAGACAGCATGTCCAGTGTTCTGTCATTTTTTAATTAACAAGTCTGCTCACCCACCCAACAACTGCTCACCACATATTTTTTTGGAACCATATTAAGTGTGAGAATAACAGAAAACGCGTGAAAACCCTGCAGTCACTCATCGGTCTAAATGTTCCCAGTAAGAGCAGGTTAGATACTGTCCTAATGTTCCCTGGATATGAAAAACATTTCAGCAAAGAAGAAAGTCGTTAAAAGGTGATAAAAGTCTGTGGGCCACTGTGATGGAGAATTATTCATTAAATAAACATACAACGTCGTCATTCAAACTAGGTCTGGTTTGTGTGGTATTCTATGTTTAAATGAATAAAAGATAGGCCTGGTCCTTGGGGAAAAAATAATCCTGATGATTTGGGTCATAATTGAAGCAACTATTTATGTACTGTCAGAACTAATGTGTAGAGAAAAACCTCTTGACTGGAGCTTTCACAACTTTCAAGAACAAAAGATGGGCTCAAATTATAATATAGAAGTGGAAGTAAAGAGTTGCGTTGTAAATACAGACATTACAGTATATTTGTAGTTGTAAATTGTGATTTTTTTTCCCTTAATTAAAAAAAAAACATCTGAAGGATACCCGAGGCAAGGTGTCTCCTCTGTTCCTGTGTCATACATGTGAACAATTTGTTTGCTCAAATTTTAAAATTCTTATTTCATCTTCTTTTGAACCCTTAAAAATCTTTTTTCTAAATTTCAATACAGGCACAGACACACGGACGGACACATACACATACACACACAGACACACACACACACACTGTTGCTGTAGGCTATACGTTTCGACAATCAAGCCATTACTCAGACGTCATATATAAAGTGTATTTATACCAATTCATACACACATCAACACAAAGAACTTAATGGTTTGTCTTCCAAAATTCCAAATACACAAGGCATACATAAGACCCCAGGGTCCATTGGAAATAATAGCAATGAAGGAATGTAAGTACATTTGCTGTCTTGAGATCGTTTACAAATATCAAGCTCGGAATTAACACTGATGACTGCTGTCGTTGTGTCCTTGGGCAAGACACTTAACTCCACTATGCCTGAAGCCCCCGCTGAAAGATCTCAGCTCCTGTGGACTCGCCACCTGCAGGAGGATCAGTGAGGGACCCAGAAATAGATTAAGCGGAAGAAGATGGATGGATGGATGGATGGATGGAAGCTCGGGATTATGACAGGTTGTAAAATCCATTTACGGGCACAACTCTGAAAGATATAGAATAATGTATGTAATTATACCAAGTCTTTAGCTTTCAGTCAATTTTCAAAATGTTCTAATTATTTGAGACATTTTACTTGTACTGTATATCAATTGTAAATAGTGGTGTTCTCATATTGAATTAAATTGATTTCACTCAATACTGTGTCAAAAATCTACTGTTAATATACTATACTCTAAACTGTGAGAGTAAACGTAGCAAATATTGAGTAAGGGCAACTTATTATTCCCGCCAGGCTTCCAGTATTTGTGGATTTTTCATCTCCAAAGAATATATTTTCCAGCAGATCAAATAGCCTCTTTTGCTTCTCCAGGTAACCACGGCAGCAGCCTTGTGTGCATCCCCCATCAGTAACCACAACGGGGCCTGCTCCTGCCTCCCCTCCCCTCTCCTCTACTCTATGCTCTGCTCTGCCTGCTGGAGTTTGTTTACCTCACTCATCTTAAAGTCAGATTCCAAGGCCGCGGAGATGAGCTGTTTGAGGGGGGTCGGCACATCAGCACTCCTCAGCCATGCCCTTTGATTATGAATGTGTTAGTAAGTGTGTGTGTGTATCTGTGTGTGCGTATCTGTGTGTGTGAGTGGGGGGGGGGGGGGGAGGACCAAGGCAGGGGTGCCCACATTCCCCCTCTTCTCTTCTGCTAAACCTGGACATGTGTCAGCATTCGGAGCAGGCCTGTCATCTCCACACTGCAGCATTTAGAAACGCTTTTAAAAAAGTCTTCAATCTCCGGCGTGACATATTTGACTTGGAGCGACTTGTGAGTAAAAGGGGTGCAGGGAATGCGGAATACAAATTTGATCCATAGTCACAGCGGGGTGGGGTAAATGCAGTGGATTAGTCAGCGAGTGCGAATGATAGAAAATCGCATTATTCATCACATTTAAATATATATTTTAAAACTTGGAGAATCCTCTTATATTGTATAAATGAAGGATAATTCATTATGTTAATCATGACATTATGTATGACAGGTTGACAGGTAAGGAGGTTGTGTTTTGTTAGATTTAAATTTCATATATTTTCAACAGTTTTACATGAATTAGGTGATTGTTTCTGGCATAAGGTGGTTAAAAGTTATGTAGGTTATGTAGGCACTTCTAACCCCATGGGACTACAGATGGTTGGTAGAGCATTGGTCTTTAAACATAATGGGCATGGGTTCGATCCCCCCCACACCTACTCCAATTGGTATCTGCTGTTGTTGTGTCCCTGGGCAAGACACTTAACTGTTGCCTGAAGCCCCCACTGAAACTCCAAGGCTTCGTTGACAGAGCAGCCATCTTGCCATGGACTAATTCATTCATCTTTCTGACAATTATTTATACATTTTCTTCCTAGTTTTTTATTTATAGGTCTCTGCAAATGGTTGAGATGTAGCTTGATGGTAATAATCCAAGCATGGACTTCCACCAAATGCTTGAGTAAACCATTAAAGGATTAAAACCTTGCAAAAATATTATAGGTATTTTGTACATGTTTATTTTTGAGGTACTAAGAAAACACCAAACAAGACCATAATCAGTATTCAAATGCTTGTAATGGGCAAAGGACCAACAAGGTTCGAACTGATTCCAATCCTAGCGTTCAATGAGGCAATTACAGTGAGCCTCATTTATGGCAGGCTGTTTACAAGCAAATAGTTGTAAAGACTGTTGGAGATGCAGCCCCGTGCAGTGGATACAATATGTGATGCAAGAACTACGCTGCTTTGTAACTATACCAAAAGCAAATGTACTTAGCCACTTGGGGAAATCGATGGAGGTTGCTGTGAAAGGATGGATGTGTGTTTTTACCGATCAATATTAAATAGATTAGTGCACAAAGAGAGAGCTGTAAAAAGAATCCAAAAACTCCCTGTGACAAAAACTCCAATTTGTAAAAGGTGAAATACTAAAAAATGAACTCCGATCGGCTGCGAGTGACCCCTGTGTAGTCGTGAGAGAGGAGGACATGGACCATCAAATCAAGTATTTTGTCGTTAATGGATAAATACCTTTGTAATAATAATCTTGACATTGCTAAATCAAAACTGTCACCTTAAAAGATTTCCCGATCAAATAAATCAACCGATTGTTGGGGGAAAAATCCATGTTTACAGGAAAGAATCCAGAATGACAAAGAAGAGTTGGCTACAGACGATGACCATACACAAATGACAGATCGTCAGAATTGTTCTAATACACAGACTGACAGTTTGTTTGATGTCTCCTCTACCAATCTTTAAGACATTTTTTTTTTTTAAAGCGAAACTTTTTATGATGATGCCAGCTCAAAAGTTCACCCCCTGTAAAAGACTGCTATATCTGAAACTAGGGAGTTTTGCAAACAAGCCCAAAAAATAGCCAAAATACAAAAGAAGCCCTTAGATTGTAATTGGAGTATGGCCCCAACATCTGGCTTACCGTGTAGTGTCTGTGGGCGTGGCTTACCCTGTGGTGGCTGTGGGCGTGGCTAACCTTGTGGTGGCTGTGGGCGTGGCTAACCTTGTAGTGTCTGTGGGCGTGGTTTACCCTGTAGTGACTGTGGGCGTGGCTTACCCTGTAGTGTCTGTGGGCGTGGCTTACCCTGTGGTGGCTGTGGGCGTGGCTAACCTTGTAGTGTCTGTGGGCGTGGTTTACCCTGTAGTGACTGTGGGCGTGGCTTACCCTGTAGTGTCTGTGGGCGTGGCTTACCCTGTAGTGGCTGTGGGCGTGGCTTACCCTGTAGTGGCTGTGGGCATGGCTTACCCTGTAGTGGCTGTGGGCGTGGCTTACTCTGTAGTGACTGTGGGCGTGGCTTACTCTGTAGTGACTGTGGGCGTGGCTTACCCTGTAGTGGCTGTGGGCGTGGCTTACCCTGTAGTGGCTGTGGGCGTGGCTTACGCTGTAGTGGCTGTGGGCGTGGCTTACCCAGTGGTGGCTGTGGGCGTGGCGTACCCTGTAGTGACTGTGGGCGTGGCTTACTCTGTAGTGACTGTGGGCGTGGCTTACCCTGTAGTGGCTGTGGGCATGGCTTACTCTGTAGTGGCTGTGGGCATGGCTTACTCTGTAGTGACTGTGGGCGTGGCTTACCCTGTAGTGACTGTGGGCGTGGCTTACTCTGTAGTGACTGTGGGCGTGGCTTACCCTGTAGTGACTGTGGGCATGGCTTACTCTGTAGTGGCTGTGGGCATGGCTTACTCTGTAGTGACTGTGGGCGTGGCTTACCCTGTAGTGGCTGTGGGCATGGCTTACTCTGTAGTGACTGTGGGCGTGGCTTACCCTGTAGTCGCTGGAGGTCACGTAGAAGATGGGAAGAAAGGCCAGCCAGATGATGCAGGTGGTGTACATGGTGAAGCCGATGAACTTGGCTTCGTTGAAGTTCTCCGGGCATTTCCTGGTTTTGAAGGCATACCTGAAGAAGAAGAGGAGGAGGGGGACAAAGCACAAACTGTCACATTCAAGGAGATATTCTGTGAATTCTAAAAAAAGTGTGGTTAATTTTCACAGTAGACATTATTCTTTGGATCCTCAATTTCACCACCCCAGGCACACATCCAGGCACACACCCAGGCATTTTGGCACAAATTATCTGTTGCCAGGTTGCAAAGGTGGGACTCGCCCGGAACAACTTTCCAGGGAAGGTGCCCAGGAGGCATCCAAAACAGATGCAAAGCCACCTCAACTGGCTCCTCTCGAAATGGAGAAGCAGTGACTACTCCAAGCTCCTTTTGTGTGAGCCATTGATCGGCTGGTATATCCAGAGCTTTGACTGCAGACGCTGATCCCTCTTCACCATAACTGTTTGATACAGCGACCACATCACTGCATCTGTCTGTTTGGTGGACAGGCCTTGGCCCAAGGGGGCTGGCCAGGTTCCCTCCTGTGGACTCACTGCCCACAGAGGGATCCATTGGGGCAGAGTGGTCCTCACACATGCAATCTCTGCCTGTGGGGATGGGGCAGAAAAAACCCAATCCGCTTCTCGTTATTGTGATGTGCTGCTCTGTCAGCACTTGCCTTGTCGTGCTGCTCACTGCTTTATTAGTCCTGATTGAAGTGGGGACTCACTGTTGGATGTCGATTCCTTATTTACCTTTTCAGATGATAAAGAAAGTCACCTGTTCAGACTGATTCATATATACGAAATAAATGAAAATCTATGTAAGCACAGAAAAAAAATTCTGGGTTCATGCAGTTTACATTTGACCTATTGCCTACCTGGAGGAGCCCTGTGAGTCACTATGTGCCTCTTTGGGCTAAGAGCTGGATGGCTTCTGCAGTGATTTTTATTATTTATGTGAATACTAATGACGTCACAGGAACACGTCAGATCCACATACGTTTATTACAAATGGGTTTTTGATGAATATTCAGATGTTGTTAATACATAATAAGCCGTTTGTACTAAATTATAATTCCTTTTAAAATTGTCTTTATTTTCTGAGAAGTATCCATGTATCTGAAATCAAACCAAATAGTTGGTGATGAATGCTGCCATGCAAAGTGTGATGAATGTTTTTAAGGAGGAGACATCAGCGGGAGCAGCGGAGCGTTCGGAGGTCAGACAAATGAGACGTACTGACGGTCACTCAGGTGTGGAAGAAACTAAACACTGCTGGTATGTTTATGATAAGATCTGTTTCAAGGTGGAATTTATATTTCACATTCCCTAAGACTTCAATGTGTCCCATATAAGACAAACATGTTTAAATAAGATAAAGGTGATTAAAATATATATATACTAGTTGAAATGCTGCTTTATTTTGGACCTACAAAACTAGAACATGAACCATTTATTTTACTTTCACTTTTAAGTATCATCCAAATGAAATGTTCCTGTTTCAACTGGACCCAAAAGAACTGAAGATAACCATGTATAAGAACTGTTTCAACTGCACACAACTTAAAACAACTCTTCTATCTGCACCTGTGGACTGTCTCCCCCAGACAGGACTCATGGGTCACACCCCTGACCCCTCACCCCCTTTCTGAGCTGCCTAAGTCCAGCACCACGTGGCCTCAGTCCCTGTTCTACAGCCTGAATCCTGGATTATAGCCCGTCCGTGGAAGAATATCCCTCTTCAATGTAGACTTTAAAGATGCTATACCCGAATTTTATTTTTATGAGTTCATAAAAATGCTTATTACTACATACAAGTTGTATCATAATCCATAATTTAATTGAAAACTTGAGCTCATTCATTCATTGTGTATGAATTTAGGCCGTAAAAAGTGCTGAGTAGAGACTTTAGCGTGACGCATGCTTTTCTCCAATCACAGAACGAGCCTGCCTCCTCTAGCCTCTACAGTGCTGCTAAACACAGTAGCATGTTAGCAGAATTGGCTACAACTCCTCTTGCTGTAACTGTGTACACAGCAAAACAGCCCAAACGAAACAACAGTGAGGAAGAGAAGAGGGAACTAAAGCGAAAAGATGATTCAAAGAAGAAATCCTGCCCGGATGAACATAGCTAGCTTACATGATATCCTCTGGAGAGACTTGTCTATGGGAGAGACCTGCACGACCGCCTCGGACTATCTATGCTCGGACTACATTCGGACGCGGAACTAGCGGAAATCTTTCAGTTATATATTTTGTTAGCAGTGTGTTGCTGTTGTACCATTTCATCAGTGATTGTTGTACAGCTTACAAGAAGTTGCGCTCATGCTAATGTTTGCATTTGTATCAGATCGCAAATAAAACTAGATGGCTCCGTGGGATGAGAGCGTAGGGGAAATGAGAAGCCTGTGAGCGAGTTGAGCGGCAGTGCCAAACATTACCTTGCAGAAACGGGTATAGCTCCTTTAAGAGGGTCTAACAAAAAGGACTGTGGTGATGATCCAGGACACTCAACATTCAACAACATTTATCAACACTTATGGACATTGGTCAACTCTCCCCTATGGACCAATACCTATAAGTTCGATATTCTTCTGTGTGTTGAACTGTTTGATTCTCTGATCTGTGTTGGCAAAATCAACGGTTTGGTTAAGCCCTCTGACATACTGTAACTACTGTTGTGATTTAGGACTGTAGAATACATTGAATTTAATTGGATTGAATGTATGCACCCCCATCCGTTACTCAGTTTACTCAGTAATTTTTTTTTTTAGTTCTTTGCAGATGCAGAAGGGTCTAGGGCAGGGGTCGGCAACTCAAAAGGTTCAAAGAGCCATATTTAAGTTTAACTTAACTTTTGTTGCATTCATGCAATTGTAGAAATACAGTAAATAATTCCGCATTACAGAACTGTCTGTTCATATTGATCACGTCACACGTCGTCACAGGCTGGAGTTCGCTGGAGCCGAATGTCCCGAACGGTGTTTCGCACTTCTTTGTTCCTCGTGTTGCAACAAAATTCAGTAGTAGAAGTTTGGAGATACATCCGCTCCAGAATAACTGCGATCGCACTGTTTCTCTCCAAACTGGGGTCAGCAGGCAATTTTCCAAATGACTCTTTTTGTTCTTCAATATATTCTCATTACGAAGCAGTCCTTCCTCATTGACAATGAGAGCAAATGTTCCAGTCCATTTTTCCTTAAGTTCCTGGTTCTTATCAACTATTTCCCTTTTTAGCTTTGGGATTTATGTGGACTCATGTGGCACTCGCCGGTTTGTTTACATCAGCGGCCGCCTGGCGCGGGGCCGCGTAACCGCGCATTGCAGGATATGACGCAAATCTCAGTTGACACAAATGTCAAAATTGAATATATCAATGCACATTTTAATTGCATTTGAAAACTTTAAGAATGTTGTCCCTACTACAGAAACCAAATTGAAACTAGAAATAAAATATACCCCTCCCACTCAATTTTTAGACATTTTTGAAAAGGCTCCAGGAGCCACTCAAGGGGCACTAAAGAGCCGCATGCAGCTCCGGAGCCGCGGGTTGCCGACCCCTGGTCTAGGGACAGTGGTGATGATCCAGGATATTTAACATTTATGGACATTAGTCATCTGTTCCTGATTAACCAATTGCCCTATGTGTTGTTTATCGTTTCCTGCGTTAGAACGGTTTGATTCTCTGATCTGTTGTTAGCAAATAGAAAAAGGTGTAAAGTCCCCCGAGATAACTAATGTTGTGATTTAGGGCTATTACAAAAATAAATTGAAATGTGTGAAACTGTGTGTGTGTGTGTGTGTAATCTGACCATGTGCAGAGGACCACCAGCAGCACGTCGTACACCAGGCTCAGCAGCATACTGGAGTCGCGGACGTTACACTTGAGGATGACCGTCTGCCTCCTCTCGGGCAGAGTGAAGCGCCGTGTGCCTGGGACCTCCAGCAGCAGCCAAACCGACACCAGGAGCAGCTGCACCGAGATCAGGCTGAGGCAGATGAACACCTGTACGCGCAGGCACATACATGTTTATTGCAGACCGTGTGGTTTTTTTTGTATAGCACAATACATACGTACACAAAGCAACTCAAAGTGCTGAACAAAAAAAAGATAGTAATAAATCAATAAAAATAGTTGGAGGAGAAAAGTTGAACTATGGTTTTGACTAAATTTCAACCAATCAGAAAGCTGCAGGGGAGTGGAGGGGCGGGTCTAACCATAGCTCATCTCCATAGTTCAGGTTCACTCTCTCTTCCTGATTGGAAAAGTAACTGACATTCACTGACCAAGAAATGATAAAAGAACAAAATGTTATGCCTAATATGATATTAAGATTATTCTGAAATTGGCATTTTGTATTTTAGAATGTGAAATAACAGCTTGATTAGAACATATATGGATAAACTTGTAAAATTGAAAAGGAAAAGGCACAGACAAAAAAACACAGCCATCTAATGGTGGAAGTTAACGTTTTATGAGGCTCGATCTAATTAAAGCTGCACTAACAGACTTTGGGATTTTGAAGCCGCGGACCCGCTGGCCTCGCTCTTTCTGATCCCCTCCCCGCACCCACGAAGCCATCGCCCCCCACACACACCCACTGTTGGGACGGAGCTAGCGTCTCCCAATATGGATAATACATGGATATGGATTTGCACGCGGATGGAGTGACCACAGAACGATAGAACCGGGAAGCAAGGAGGAACAGGACTTTCTTTTGGATGGCTGTCTCGCTGTGTAAGCAGTAACCGGTGACGAAGACACAAGGTTCAGGTTAGCTCCACCGCTTGTTGTGCTAACTCAGCCGTCTATGCTAACGGACCTGTAGATTTCTCACGAAAGTGGGGGCCAGTGGTCCGCTGTGATTGGTCACAATCTGCGACCCGAAACATATTCTCTTCCTTGTTTCATCGAAACTCGATCTAAAATATAATATCACGCCAGCACAAATCTGCACTACTTTTTCTTCAAAAGAACGTATATTCCAATGCACTACATGGACATGGACACCATACTAGAGAACTTTTGAAAGTCAAGTTTTTTTCAAGCAAAGTCAAGAGGTGACTGTTTGTTTGTCCTGCTTTAGAGCCAAAGTTGTATCATGTGTGTCTAAAATTTGCCAATAGAACACTAGTCCAATTAACTTTATAAATATATTTCCCATTCCATCATAGGTTGTGATGGTAGACCTCTGGAAACACTGGTGCGATGGTGGGGTGGCTGCGGCTGTAAAGTGCCAAACAGTTGTCATGTCCTTCGGCAAGACATCTCATCCTTATTGCCAAGAAACAGTCTGGTGTGTGTGTGAATGGTAGGTGGTGGTCGGAGGATCCAAAATCACATACTGGTTGCCTATCTTCTGTCAGTGTGCCCCAGGGCAGCTGTGAGTACAGTACTAGTTTATCACCACCGTGTGTGGAGTGAACGAGAAGCTTCTTTGAGTGTCAACAAAGCGCTATAAAAAAACAAAACAATAACTAGTGTTTGTAGTGATTTCATAACACTTTGAAGCAACTGTGGTTAAAGTTCTAATTCATCATATGCACAAGTCCTGAAGCCAGTACTTTTCCACAGCATGTTTTGATTTCTGAAGGCCAAGCTACATGGCACCGTGGCGGCTGCTGATTGGAGGTCTCTGTTTCCCTTACTGTATATTATCAGTTGCAGTCTGTAAAATCCTTCGTGCTCGTGTTCGTGCGTCTACCATCAACAATAAATAATGTCTTCTGTCTGAATTAAAGATACGATGCCAGACTTTGTCATCTTCTTCATGTTATATTTTGAAAATGCAAAACACATTTCTTGACAATAAATGGCTGCACAAAACCACAAACCAAAAAATGGCATAACAATAATGACATTCTTGCCGGAGTGAGTAAACTCTCAAACACAACCGTAGCTTGTGAAAGCGCTGAGCGAGATTTCAAACTTGTATAAGGAATTTACAGAGCCGGGAAAACAAACAGGGTTTTTACTTGTGGAAAGGTGAGGCGGGTGTACCTGAGAGGAGGGGCTGATGAAGCGTGGCCGGGCCGGTCCCGCGCCCTCCTTGACGCCGTTGAAGATGCGCGAGATGCGGTTGGTCTTGGTGAGCAGTGCGGAATAGCAGACAGCGAAGGAGGTGCCCAGGCCCATGCGTCGCAGAGCGCACACGGCCGGACACGGTTTGGCCAAGAACAGGAAGGTCAGGCCGTACGACATGAAGACCCCGGACAGCAGGATGTAACACAACTCCCGACCGGACGCCTTCACCAGCGGAGTGTCGTTGTGGCGCGCAAACACCCACACCACCAGCCCCGTGCACATGAACCTGAGGACGCACACACAACACATGAATCTGAGGACGCACACAATACACATAAACTTGAGGACGCACACACAACACATGAATCTATCATGAATAATTTGTAGCATCCAATTCAAATTGTACGTTTTGAATGTGATCTTGAGATTGGCTGTCTACGTGATGGAGTGGTACATAGGGTAACAAAGGCTGGGGACCCCAGCCCAAGTGCAGGTTTCTCACCCCACACATGCGACCGTGATTGGTCCGATGGCCCAGGCCTCCTCCCACAGGATGTAGTCTTCGGGTAAGTCGTAGCAGGCGCTCAGGTCGTCTGTGGGCCACTGTCCCGGGGTGCATGGGGAGCAGGTGAACTCGTCCAGCAGGTACTCATGGGCCTCACAGGCGGTGCAGATCCAGCAGCAGTACTCCCCTGTACGCAAAACACACACACACACACACACACACACACACACACACACACGCACACACATACACACAACAGGGTCAGCTAGGCCCATTTATAATATTCAAATCAGTTGGTAGAGCCTTGGCCATTGAGTCTGTTTGGTTTGGGCCCACCACGAGACCTTCTCCACCGACTCCCAATGATTTCTGCGGTTGTTGTGTCTTTGAGCAAGGCCCCTAACCCCACTTTGCCTGAAGCGCTCACTGAAAGATCAAGGCTCGAGCCATCCTTACCCCCTGCAGGAGGATCAGTGAGGGGCTGGTGCTCTGTGAATTGGGGGGCAGCTGATTGCCACCCTCCTGATCCAGAAATGGACAAAGCATAGACTTTCTGACAAACATTGTGATTGGCCTTATAAATGATGATTTTAAACTCTTCAGGGCTGCCACTTTAACTGTATTTGTAATATCACAGCATTGAAGGTTTCTGTGCATTTGTAATAAATGAGCAACGGGAAACCAATAACCTTTCTGTTGTTGTTGCTGTGTGTGTTACTAGTGTCATGAACGTGCTGATTTTGGGAAGTCAGAAGATTACCTATCTATCTTCGAGTTCCTTTGAAAGTTGGGAGAGATCATTGATGTTCAGCTTTCAGTAATGTGTAAACATAAACTCACACTGGGAGAATGTCACTGTTTTAGAAACTCTGAGTTCATTCAACCAGATTCTAGCAGCAAGCCTCTAATGTTATAATATTCACAATTATCATCAGACATTTATTGGGCTTATAAAAAAATACACGTTCTCAAGCTATTTCCTATTTCCAAGAAGAATGAGTGGGTATAAGAACATGTAGGACTTTGTGGTTTTCACTTTACAGTCAGATTAAACAAACCAACTCACTATTCCATACCTCAAAACCGAGTTGATGTTCACCCTATAAAAAGTTACCATAACATTTTAACTCACTCCGAAAACTGTAGGCCTTCAAAGAAAGTATAAGCGCTAGAGGATGATGAGTGTAAAGGACTTTTGCCAGTGTTGTAAAAATAACATAATTATCTCACTGATAATGATGTAGGCGAGGCTAATAACCCACACCCCCAGCTTACAAATATACAGTATATTTGTAAGCTGGGGGTGTGGGTTATCTTATACCTGTAACCAGACTGCAGCTGTTTATCTATAATCTGGTATATAACTTTTATGTCTTTGAATATTACGCGTAATTTTGGGCCATTCATAATATGCCATAATTGGCCATTCATTAATAGGCCATTTACTTTGTCTGGTCAATCAATCAATCAAATTTTATTTATAAAGCGCTTTTCATACAAAAGATGCAACACAAAGTGCTTTACAGTTTGGTTAAAAACAATCCCGCCGGCCCAAGACCCCTCCCCCAGACCACCCAACAGACCCACCCCAAACCACAGACAAACACACACACGCTCTCATGAACACTCATACACAGGCACACACACACACTCATACCCACACACACACACACCAGTAAAACAATAAAACCATGATGAGAGACTTGGCAGGGTTCAGATGCAACCAGCTGAAAAAGCGTCATCCATGGAGCCGTCTGCACCAGGAGCAGAGAGCCGCCCGTAGCCACAGGGGACGACACAGGACCCAGAGGAGACACGAAACCGAGGCCCCAGGCCCCCATCAGGCCCAAGAGTCCGACCCCCGCAGCCACACTGCTCCCAGTGCAGAGGGCTCCTCCAGAGGAGGATATGCTACACCGGGGGGGGATAGAATTTGTGTTGTTTCTTTCCAAATTTGATAATTACCAACCACAACATGTGATCTCAAAGAACATTATTTCACATGAGAAGTTGCCTAAATTCATGTTTGGAATATGTGTGGCGTCATAGTCCTGTTATATTATGATGTCATTGTTCCGCTGAGACTTTTAGACAGAAGGGGCGGAGTTACTTGTTTTCAGTTTTGCCCAAAGTACCAGGTGTGTTTTTGACCAGGGAAAAATTTTGAGACATGATTAAAATCTCAAAGTAATGGTTTTATATTATGTCTCCTTTAAATGTGCATTGTCCCTTTAAGTGAAAAACTAAAGAGACAATGGCGTGGTCGTGCCGTACCTGCCTGCATCTTCTTCATCTCGTTGCGCGCACACGGGTCGCTGCACTGGGACGTGGGCAGAGCATCGCGGGGCCACTGCACCAGATGGGAGCTCAGGCTGAGGCTCTCGGCCCACTCCCCCACGGGCACGTAGCCGTAGCGGTCGGCTAGCCGCTGGTAGCTGAAGATGTTGTAGCGCCCCACACCGTCGCCCTGAGAGTCAAACTTGACCACGGTCTCGCTGCCCGGGGGAGAGAAGGGGGCTGTGGGGGGAGGCAGATAAAGCAGAGAGGAGATAAGAGCCCGCGGGTAAACACTCTATTGATGGAAGTATTGATGGGTTTAGGAGGAGGGAGGGCTGACTTGGAGGGGAAGACGTGGGAGGGGATCTGAAGAGGCAGGTCACAGCAGTTCATAAGCAAAACAGAAATACAAAAAAAAAAAAAGGTTTAAAACATAAATTAACAGGTTATACAGCAAGCACAAAATAGAGCTTTCCTGCTGGAAGGTCCTGTTTCTGTTTGGGTTCGTAAATGTAATTTTTTGCACATTATTGCATTGAATTTTCCATCTCCAACAGTGACAAGCTTAGTCAAGTAAAACATCTGAAGTTATGTCAATAAAATGGTCCTACGCCTCTGTGTTTAACGTGACACAGGATAGGTGATAATATTAAGTACGTAGAAGCCATTGGTCCATAGTGAGCGGGATGATCAATGTCAGTACATGTTGTTAAATATGCGTAGTCCCGGATTATCACTGTCCTTAGACCCTCCAGCATCAGCAAATAAAAATAAAAAGCCCAGTGGGGAAAAACAAAAAACAAAAAAGAAACAGGGAGGTCCATATTCAGAGAGGGATCTGCTCCCATTGATAGGCAATAGATCCAGGACTGATTCCACGGTGTAAGTGCCTGTAGATAGATACTGTGCTTCTTGACTCTGGGAACCACTGGTAGGCTGACGTTTTGAGAGCTCCATGTTTGGTTGATAAAATACAACTGTAAGTTGGAGGAAACAAAAAAGCATTAAACAACATTTTCTAACCTTAAAACCCCCCTTATGTCCTTTGAGTGGGACCCTTCTATGTCCACTCCTTATACCTATGCAAGGGGGCCATAGAGATAACGCCACGAGTCCAGATAAGCCGGTGGCGAGCAAGTGACAGCGGTTTGAATGAAGGAGAGATAGCAGCGCTAAAGACGACAAAAAAGAAAGGAGACAAGAGGAAGACGAGCGAATAGGCTGTGTAGACGATCAATGGAGGAGGAGGGGGCAGCGAGGGAGCAGCATGTGAAGTGTGAGTGGGCCGGACGCCAACGGACAGCAGCGAACGAAAGAGCGAGACACTGAGAGGGGAGGGGAGGGGAGGGGAGGGGAGAGAGTACTGCAAAAGGCTGTTTCTGGAAGGGTTTAAATGACTTCAATGTAGGATTTTCTGTTTTTTCCATCCTCTTTCAATCAAACAACACAAAGCACACAAATGCAGACAAGACACATGCCCAAAACCTCTCTGACCCTATACCTAATTTCTTGAACTGCTGCCTTTGTTGGCTATCATGATGTCTGTCATGATAGGTAATTTTATATTTTATAGGACAATATATTAGTTCAGATTGCCAAAAAAATTGAAACTCATTTATCGCACTGATGAAATTACAATTCAGAAAAATAGTCACACTAAAGCAAATGATTGATTTACCCACAGACAAAAAAGCACCCTAAAAAGAAGAATATTGATCCATGTAGAACCCACTACAGACAAAACTTTACAACGAAATTTGCAAATGAAACCGTGAATGTAATCAAAGGAACAGAAGTCTGCATGTGGCCTAGTGTCTGGTGCAGGAGAAGGAGACTACATGTAGTTGGGCTCATTTCCACACAGCTTGGGCCCTTGAACCCAACACCGCAGAGGGGTTGGACCCTCCACTCCTCTGCTGTTTCCCACAGAATGAGATGTCCAGCTGGGGTGGGCTTGCTCGTTGGCCCAATCTCTGCTGTCTTGTGAGTTCTCGACGGTGAATGAGAGTTGTGTCCCTCAGCCTTTTGATGACACTGGGGGAAAGGTGGTCTGAAAGTACAGCCCTCCCGTCTGAGCCTGATCAGTGTTCCGTTATTGGACCAATTCATGCACTAGGGGGCGCACCAGAACATTGGCACCAAGCTGTCAACATGAAGAAGCTGTTGCAGATGCACAGATTAGGGGCTGCAGAACTTCAGAGTTCATAGAACTGCCCAGAGTCGACCTCAACTGGACTCTGACTTCTTGTCAGAGCGTACAAGAAGTAGAACAAATACTGTGCATACTGCTCTTTGGGGGCCATATTTTTCTATTATCTATTTCTGTTATTAAAAAATATGATTTCTTCAGTCATTGGTAAACAACAAGACTAACCAAACATGATCTATTTTAATAACCGTAAGGGTTTTGGCATGAAGTTTAGCATTTGTTTAAAACACAATGTGGATCAAACCATGAAAATAAGAGTATACACAAAATATGCATGAAGCACACAACATATTTGCAACATTACACAATGAAAATATATTAACACACATCCAATATCCAAGTTTCTACAAACAACAAAACACATATAAACATATTTATATATCTATATGTTTATGAATTTAGTAGTCCTCAGTTAGAAACCAGTCTTCCTTATGAAGAATGGGGCCCGGAGAATGGTTTCTTCCTCATAAGCAAAGAAATCTCTCCAAGACAAAAATACCTTGACTTAAAATAATAACCCGAGTTGAAGTCATTTTTGCAGTGAGAGAGTAAAGAAAGGCGGAAGGATGAGTGAAGTGAAGGTTGCTCTCTCTAGCATCTAAAGACAGAGTGAAGTCAGCGCTCGATACAGCCTCAAGGCTCAGCCGCCTCTGCTGCAGACTGAGATCCAGAAACAGAGGAGGGGGCCTGGAAATGGCACTCTCAAAAAGTTCATTTCATTTGGAGCTTAAATATTTAAGTGTTTAAGTTTCAATCAATCGCATACCTGTACGCATATCTGTTACAGATGTTTTGTATTAAGAAAAATCTGTCACTCTGAGGGAAACCTTCCTCACAACATAACTTCTGGTGGAAGTCCCCAAACCATAATGTTTCCACCCCCATGCCTCACAATGGGTATGGTGTTCTTGGGATGCAACTCAGTATTATTCCCCCACCAAAGCAACTAGAGAGTTTTTACCAAAATAATAATAATGCATCGATTTTATATAGCGCTTTTCAGGACACTCAACAGCGCTTCACAGGTCATTATTTTTTCACTCCATACACAGTGGTGATAAATTATTACTGGAGCCACAGCTGCCCTGGGGCTCACTGACAGAAGCGAGGCAACCAGTATGTGCCATCAGCCCTTCTGACCACCACCAACCATTCACACACACACACACACACACCAAACTCATTCTACGTAATGTGGGTGAAGTGTCTTGCCTAAGTACACAACAGTTGGGCGCTTTACAGCCACCCCACTGTGGCACCTGGTGTTCCCAGAGGTTTCCCAGCAAAGTACTAATGCCCTGCCCTGCACCATTTAAGAGGTCTGACGGGATTTGGCTTTTGCATGCAAGTATGGCCACAAATGTTCTGATGTTTTATGTTGGTCTTATCCGACCTCAGGATATTCTCCTCGTCCTCTTCTAGATGGTCACAGGAACATTTCAGACGGGGCTGGGCATGAGCTGGCTTCAACAAGGGCACCTCTCAGAAGCATGGAGGTGGAAACTTTTTGGTTTGGGGACCATTTCTGTAAAGGGGACAGAATGACTGATCCTTAATAAAGACAGGAGGTTTGGGGCCATTTATTATGAGATAAAAACCTTTCTCCATCACAATATTGATGATGAAACGTGGCTGTACAATAATCCAAAACACACCGCCCAGATAGACCCAAACTGTAATAAGAACTAGCTAAATAGTTACATTTTTTGTTGTTTGAAAGTTAGGATCCCCAACCTTAAGTTTGCAGTGGTTCTCAAAGTGGTGGGGGCTAAACACAATGCTAAAGGGTTATGAGTCCATAGGATTAGCATAGCCTTGATCTTTCATCGGGGCTTTCAGGCAAAGTGGGGTTAAGTGTCTTGACAGTTTGCATTGGTAAACTAAATGACATCAACACTACAACAAATTTAGCATGATTAGTGAGAGGAAGGAACTTGAAAATCAGGTATCTCAGCTAGTATATCTCAACACAAATCCATTATTTTTCTTGAACCTGACAAAATATGGCTGTTTAGAAGCTTTTGTGTGTGTGTGCGTGTTTGTGTGTTTGTGCGTGTACGTGAGCGAGCTAGGCAACGGCTCCGGTGAGAATGGCGTGGGCCGCGGGTGTCTGGTGCCATGGCAAAGCACTCGGCCCGCGTGGTTCCAAGAGCGCACGCCTCATTATAACACAACATAAGCAACCGAGTCCGACGGAGCAGTCCGGGTGCCAGGCGCCTATTACCATGGCAACAAGAGATGGATGGAGAGATATGAAGGCACGCCGTGCTAAGCAGCAGCCCATCGGCCTGTCAGGATCAAGGAAACCAGGGGCATGTGTCCAGTCAAGTCAGGGGCATGTTGGGGAAGTCGATAGGGCTGCACAATTTTGGCAGAATAACTAATCAAAATATTTCTGACCAGCGTTTTTGATCAACATAGAGTAAAAACAACATTTTAAAGAAGCCAAAACCTCAGAAACAATTCCCATACAATTCAGATAAATTGCACTAATAACAACTGTGAATGTTCACCAACAACCATCCCATTTGGAAAAGTTCCGCATAAAACATAAAAATATCAAATTAAAATGTCACTTCACATTTTATACGACTTTCATATGACGTTTGTATGATTATCTCCTGAAAGTGGTACCTTTTGCTCATCTTTCATATATGGCAAAAAAGAGGGTATTATGCTGTTAATATAAACATTTTACACTGTCTTTGTATATATTTCAGTCTTACAATTTATAAAAGTATGTCATGCATATATCGATAATGTGTGTATTTTCTATTTATCATACCATATTAGAGTAATAAGTGTGTAATAGTGCAACAAGGACATAATAGAGTAGAAAGGGTCTAATCTAAAAGAGCTGTAGTAGAGTAAAAAGAACATAATAGTATAATTATGGTGTAGTAGCAGTTCTTTCACTTGTACGATCTTCATAATGATGAGAGGGGTACATACATTCTTATGTACCAAATGTACGGGATAACATGGGTAACAAGATGCGAACAGTCCATTGTGCATTCTAATTTTAGTTTTT